CTTGGAAACAAGTCCAGGCTGGTTTGGGGGAGGGGGCTCTGCATCCTCCCCACCCCCACTCCTTGCACCGAGAGAGGGAACCCCCTTTTATTCCCTCTTTTTGTGTCTTTCAAGCGATTCATCACCCACAGCTTTGGCAAGAACGGGTCTGGGCTGTTTTTCTTTAAGATTGTTGGCGGATTTGCCTCCCCGCTAATTGTGTTCGTGTGGCTGGGGTTCATGTTCGCTGGGTATGTTATACATGTCAGAGCGGAATGGTTTCAGGGGTGGAAACCTGCCTGACCACACGGGCAGGGGTGAGGTTCCAGGCGAGGACAGCGGAGGGGGCCTGGGCAGATGGGTGCTCTGATGAGAAAGGGGTGCTCTCGTGATCCCCTCCAGGGGGCACGTGAGTAAGTAATCAAAGACACACTGAGGGGGGGAGGGTCTCTTACAGACCCAAGAGGGACATTCCAGAAAATTGGCCACATTTTCCCTTGAGCCTGAGGGGAAGGCAGCGGCCAGCTGGTTTCCAGACCTGTGCCATGTGCCCTGGAGGCCTCTCCACGGAGCCCGGAGCCCGGCTCTGCCCTGAGCCCTCTGTGTGACCAGAGGTTGGAATCCCCAGTGTTAGCTGGGCCCCCCAGGGGGCAGACATGGACAGGATGCCTGGCTCTGTCTCCCTCTACCTCCTCTGCCCCCATGCGCTGCTTTTCTTGTCTGCTGAGCGCCAGCACGAACATGTGCCAGGCGGGCACCGAGCCAGGCACTTTACGTTCATTGATTGTCCCAACCATCAGAACAGCCCCGAAGGGCCGGCCGGCCGCTGCGGCCACTTGGCACAAGGGTGCTGGGTGGAGGCGTGAGTAGGGGTAAACCAGCCCATTCTCTGCTCCCCGAGCCACGCATGCTCCGCAGGGAGCCACAGAAGCCACAGCCCCTTCCTCTGGTTTATAAACGAGGAAACTGAGGCATTCGATGGCAGGTAGCTGCCGGGACGCCAACCCACGTTTGGCTCTGGCGCCTCCACTTAGCCGTGTCACCTTTCAGGCGCTGGTGACAAGTCCGTGAAGGAGATTTAACGCCGTGTGGAGGAGGCGCCCCTCTGCCCCTTTGTCCTTGTCCTGTGTCAGAGAAGTGGCCCCGGAGGGCTCTTCTGGAGCCCGCCTCATTGCTGAGTCCGTTATGGGGTGAGGCAGCCTCTGTCCCCCTTCGCCTGTGCACATCTGGAGTCACATCTGGTGAGGCAGCCTGAGGGCGAGGGGGGGGCATGCAGGGTCCTCCAAATTCTCATCCTGTACTCTGTGCGCCTGGCAGTAGGCCAGAGGGGCTCCCTGAGTCCCGGGGGCCTGGCGGACACCCTCCAAGCAGTGGCGATCCCTGCTTCACCTCTGGGCCAGTGGTCAGGCTTCCCTTCCAAGCTGGGCCTGAGATGGACCCCAAGTTATTCAGCCCCTGGGCTGCAGTTTCCTCTGTCATTTTCTACTGAGGCTGCCCCTGCCCCGTCCTCCTGCCTCTTCCTGTTTGGCCTTTCTGGAGCCACCCCAGTCTGCTGGTTGAGGCCCCTCAGCTGGCCCCAGGGCAGAACCCCCAGAAACCATATTCGCATTCCTCAGCTGTGACTGGCTCCGCTTCCTGTGCCGGGGCCACAGGGTGCGATGCACTCACCACTTAGGGGTCGGGCTCCCGCACAGCCCGGGGTCCTCCTGCTGCCCCTTGACGCACCTTGTTCCAGCCCTACCTTCCAGGCCTCCCTATGTGTCCCCTGTGTAAGGGCCTCCGCTGCCCACCTCGGTCCCCAGAGAGCACTGCCCGCCCAGCTGCTGCTGTCGTGGGTGGTGGAGCCCTGTAGTGACCCTCACAGCCCTGGGGGACAAGCTCCATCGCCTCCCCATAGTGGAGGCTCGGCGGGGGTGGCACCTGTCGTCAGCCAGACAGGCCCAGTTCTGCCAGGGCCCAGAGTCCACGTCCTTGCCCGTGGATGCTGGGGTGGGGGTTGGCTCTTTCACAAGATGCTGAGTCCCCAGGCCAAGCCTCCCCGAACATGTGCCTCGGTTTCCTCTCTTGAAAGGAAGGTGGTTGGGAGCAGTAACCGGGGCACCCGAAGGCGTTAGGCGCTTGCTTGCCCAGTACGGGGTAGGTCACCGCTTCGGAGTCAGGGCCAGAGAAGGGCCAGGAGGAGGAGGCCAGTGGCCCAGGGTGTGGAGCAGAGGGCTGTGGGCTCGGATGCTTTGAGCCCCCACCTCCCAATTACCCGCTAAGCCCCTGTGCTTTTAGGGGCCGGGGAACCCTGGCCGCACATCTGCTGTCCCCTTTGTAGCTCACAAAGCCCCGGGCTGCGCAGCTGATTAGCATGGATGGGGGAGACAAGTGCTGATGCTCCCGCCCGTCGCCAGCCAGTCAGCCAGTCGGTGGATGAGGGAGACATTTGCATGTAATAGCCCTGCTGACTGGTGCCCCTAGTACTTTTCTCAGAAAAGCGCGGCCCTTTCTTTGTCTGCTCCTTCTTTTCTTGGGGTTGCCCTTCTGTACACCCCACAATTAGACGACTCTTCAGGCTCCCCTAGACCAGTCCTGTAGGGCCTGGCGGAACCAGCCATCGGCAGACCCTCTGAGAGGAGTCCCCTTGTCCCCTCTGACCGCACGGAGCTGTCACTGGCTGATCCGGGAGGTTTGGCTGTCACTAGTGCAGGGCTGTGGGGGGACGGCTGGGTGCTTCCCGGGGTGCAGAGCGGCGCTCCGGTGCTCCTGGTTCAGACCCAGCGGCTGCAGGGAGGCTTGTGGCCCGAGGGGGCCTGGCTTCCCCGTGGGACAACAGGAAACCTGAGGGGAGTCCCTGCCCTCTTCCCCACCCATGGTTGCCTCTCAGACCAGGAGTCTCTTCCATTCTCAGCCCTCCCCATGCCCCTCCCCAGCGTCCCGTCACCCTGTTGCTGGGTGGTTCCGGAAGTTTCCTCCTCAGGGCCCCTCCTGAAGTAGACTCACCTTTTGGATTCTTCAAGCTGCCCTGTAAATCGCCAACCTGCCACCAGTGTGAGCCTTTTCTTGCCCACAGAGGCGGTGTGCTGTTGAGTTACTGTGCATCTTGTCAGCGGAACGAAGGGTGATGCAGTAAACCTGCCTCAAGAAATAAACCGTCCCCCGTTAGTAGCTCCCCGATTTCGGCTCCTCCCGGGGACGTAACCTGGAGGGAGGGGTGCCCCACCCATCCGGTGCTCCCGTAGAAGGGTCCCTGTGAGCAGCCCAAGGACCCCCCCTGGAGTTTGTGCGGCCTGAAGCGAAGACAGTTCCCAGCACCGTGTGCCCCTCGTCACTCTCTCCGCCTCGGCCAGATGGCTGCTCCTGTGTCCCCCAGGAGCACCCAGTCAAACTGGTCCGGTGGCCAGAAGGTCAGAATTCTCTCCGGGACTCCTCTCTGCTCTTTGCCTCCAGCCAGGATGCCTTGGGGACACGGCGGCCACGGTGGGTGTTTTGTGCCAGTGACCCTGTGTACACATGGGTCTTGGGCTGGACACAAAGGGGGCGGTAGTCCTTATGACAGTCCTGAGCCCTGCAGTGATTTAGCTTCCTAGACACGAAAGCGGAGGCTTAGGGCTGGGGGGTGTGAGGCTCCAGGCGGCAGGTGTGATGTGCGCCGCGGTTCTGGGAAAGGTACTTCACCTCGTGGCCTTCCTGGTGCCGTGAGAAGGGCTTCCCCCGCCGGCAGCTGCTGGAATGCAGGCCGGGAAGCCCCTGCCTTAAACCCGAGTCTGCAGGGCCACTGCCCCTCCTCCCTCCCTAACTGGGGTGTGAGCGAGGGCCTGCTCCGGCAGAGTCCCTCGGGGGGCCGATGCCTCCATTCCTACCTTAGAAGGACCCTTCGGTCACAGGCCCCGTTCCCACCACCCTCCCCCTCCAGCAGGCTGAGGGGCGTCGCTGTGATGCCGGTTCCCTCTGGGGAGGACCCGGATGATTTGAGTGGCCGCCAGGCCTCCCCTGCTGTCCCGATCGCCTTTTGTCTGGTTATCTCTTGTGTACAGGGTAGAAATTCAAACCGTGCAGGAGGATGAGATGTGGAAAGTCCTTGTCTTCTTCCTGCCTGGTCCTGGCCTGTCCCCGACATCACCCGTCATCTTCCGGTGTGACCTTCCCACGTGCATTTTCAGGCACATACAGGCACGCGTGCCCAAGTGTCTCCCTGGAGCCCACTGTCCAGGAGAGGGGGTGCCGGTGCCTCCCTTCCAGAGGCGGCCACTGAGGTCACGTTATCAGTGTTTCTTTCCAGAAAAGCCCCCGGCAGACAGCACTCTTGCTCCCTCCCTCCGTCCCTCCCTCCGCCCTCAATTTTCTACCTGTGGCTCATAGATTTTACAGCTCGGTCCCCGACAGTGGTCCGGCCAGCCTGACAAGCCAGCGTCCGTGGCCTGTTACTGGCTACGTCTTCAGTCACTCATTCAGTGGGGATTTTGCTTTACAGCTGCTGTGGACGGCCCTGGGTCTGGGGTTGCCTTCGCAGACATTGGCAAGTGGGATTATAGGATAAGGCCCCCCAAAGGGCTGGCGGGGTGTCTGTGACAGATTGTCTTGGGAAGAGAATGGGGCTAGGGCCGCCTCAGGTGCCTGCGGGGAGGGCTGGGATTCCCCCCCAGGGCTGGGCTGGGCCAGAGGAACCCAGGGTGACCTCGTGGTCCTCAGACACCCCGGGGCTGGGCAGCTGCGTGGGGCGTCTCCCGGGACAGCACTGGAGGAGAGGGCTTAGGTTACTTGGCTGAGAGGGAGGCCAGGCCGGGTGAGGCTTCCCAGGGTTGGATTTTTTTCTGGCACCGATCTGATGGAGGGTGAAGTGGCCACTCTGGTGACTGAGCACTTCGTACACTTACTACTGTCCACGTTTTCTCACGGGATCTTCATGGCAAGTGTGCGGGGGCGGGGGAGGGGGGCGGTGAGTTACCTTCTTTTTATCACCATTTCCAAGATCAGGCTCCCGAGGTCGGGGGTGCAGGCAGGTGGTGCGGCCGTCTGTCAGGCCCTCCACGTGGGTCATGTCCTCTCATCCCGAGGGCTGTGTCATTATCACTTTGACGGATGAGGAGACGACGGATGAGGTCACACGGCTGGAGAACGGCACGTTTGGCCGTGAACCCTGGTCTTCCTTGGCGCTCGTCATTTTAACCACTGCCCACCTGGAGGGACCGAGAGCGACCGTTTTCCTGTCCTGGCCACAGGGGTGCACGCCACGCAGGAGCAGGGGGAAGCTTCCACCCGCCCCCCCTTTGGAAACTCGGTAAACTGCCACCAGGCCCCGCGGGGGGGG